GACAACAATGGCCCCACCCTTGTCCGCAGCTCGGACCAGGATGGAGTCATGGTCCTAAGGGCAGTGACAGCCCTCCATTAATCTGGCGCCAAATTGGAGGAGCCCCTCCTAACCCAATTAATTTTGGAAATCTCCAATTGACATAACTTGATAAAAGTTTCAACTGTAGAATTGGTGGCAGGTGGAGTGAACTTACTTTTAGTTTTACATTAGGATAAGTCCACAGAATTGACCTCAATATCAGCTTCAACTTCTTCCATTTGAGCATCCATAGATAAATTTTCTCCTGCGAAGAAAACTTTTAAACGTAAGGAATGAAAAAATTCATATACAAAATTCATACAAATTCAATTTGTCACCCTCAAAAGAAGGGACAAACCCCAGGCCCTTATTAAGTACCAAGATTTCATTTACTGATAAAACCCTCCTGGAGATGTTCACCACTAGCGTCTCCATGTTCTCCTCTCCCTCTCCGGGTATCTCCGAGGGGGATGGTTTGCTGCGGCGTCTCTTCCCTCTCCTGATCTTGTGCCTCCTCCTCTGGGGCATTGCTGTTCTAAAAAAATGTTGGTATTGGCTGATCCTAGTAAGGATTGCTCACTATCACTATTGGTAAGTGAGTTCCTAGTAAAATTACGTTCACCCTGGGGTACATTAGATCTCTGACGATGAGGTTGCCAATTATAAACTTTGTTATCAAGATAATCTATAGTGTCACATTTAAATTTGGATAATTTCCTGTTGAGGGTATCTGTCTTATGCTTAGATAGAATACTGTCTATTTCATCTAAATATTTAATAAAGGATTCTTGATTCTCAGTACTCAGTATTCTATTTTTAGTAATACTGATTTCTTGTTTCAATTTGGTCAAATCTTCTTTTATACCCTCAATGGTAAGTGCAATTAGGTCCAAGCTACATTTATTCAATTATTTATTATTTTGCCAGTTTTCCTCAAATTTTGGTTTGTGTTGACAAAAAGAGGGCTTAATGCCCAATCTCATGCCCCTCGATCCGTTTAACTCTCAAGTATTCTACTAAAGTCTCAACATGCAATTGGTAATTCATTTCCTTCCTCTTAAGGTATTCACTTTTTATATAAAACAGTACTATTACTCTGAGCAAAATTAGTACTGTTAGAAAAATGAGATAATAAGGCATCTATATCTACCTCTGCCTGTGAATATACCTTGACTTCTGCCCTCTTCTCACACAAAGAGCCAATCTCCGCAAACGACATGCTTAAGGTGCCAAACACCTATGGGAATAACCAAAGATATTAAAAAAATAAAGCAAGGTAGGCACACTCAACTATTTACTGTAAAGTAGCCCCTAAATGGAGCTCTATAAGAAAGTATTGGGTGCTCACTTACATAAGGCTCTATCCCCAAAAGCCCATATAAATGTGAATGTGAATACAAATAGAGTAAGGAGCACGACCTTAAATGTTTATATAAAAA